TATAATATATATTGAAAGGTTCAGTTGAGAGATTTTGGGACACTTAGCCATTTGTTTCTTTTGTTGAGAGTATGTCAACGCCTGGCTAGTCTGTGTCTGTCTGTGTGTGTGTGTGTGTGTGCGTGCGCTCGCTGTTATGATAATTTAATATAATCCTTTCAATAACTCTTTAAAAATGCCACACAGGACAGGTAGATGTTTTTTTAATCTGTGAAGATGAAGCAGTGTGGAAATCGAGGCCTCAACATGTTGCTCCATCTCAAGTCTGCTCAAAGAGACCATGAGGAAGTTCCATCCATCCATCCGTCATCTTTTACCCGCTTCTTCCATTTTGGGTCATGGGGGTCGCTGGTGCCCATGTCCATCAATCACTGTGTGAGGGGCGGGGGACACCCTGGACAGGTCTCCAGTCCATCACAGGGACACATAGAGACAAACGAGACAAACAATCATTCACTCTCTCTCACACACCTAGGGACAATTTAGAGTTACCAATCAGCCTAACATGCATGTTTTTGGTCTGTGGGAGGAAACTGGAGTACCCGGAGAAAACCCACGCAGCACGGAGAGAACATGCAAACTCCACCCAGAAAGGACCCCGGACCGGGGTTTGAACCAGGGACCTGCTTGCTGAGAGGCAGCAGCTCTACCAGTTGTCACCGTGCTGCCCCATTTCACATTATTAAGTGAAAAACATCTGTGACCTGTGTTTTGTGTGTGTGTCTGTGTGTTAAAAAAATTCAATAAAAAGACATTGGAAAAACCAGTTTCCCTCTTTAGGTGTAATGAAGCCGTCTTGTTGGATTGTAAGAGAAGCTGTGATTTGAGCAACGATGTCAGTTTTACCTACTTTGAGACATTTTCTGTAAATAATTAATTGTTCAGAAACAAAACAATTTACTCAGTAATTATGTGTTTGTGTGTTCCCTTTACTTCCAGGTAAGAAGCTGTTTGGAGAAGGCTACAGTGGGCTGGAGTATGACTACCGAGGCCTGATCAAACTCTACAACTCAGTGGGGAACTACGAAAAAGTGTTTGAGTACCACAATGTACTGTCCAACTGGAACCGTTTAAGGGACCGGCAGTTTGCTGTAGCAGATGCTCTGGAGGATGTCAACACAACCCCACAGCAGACCCAAGAAGTGGTCCAAGTTTTCCTACAAGCTCAAAGCCTTGGCCCTACTCGATCTTGTCTTAGCTGAATTTTATTATTTTAATTTCTTTGCTCCTGTGGAAAAATGGAACGTGAAAGATTTGAATCTGGTGAGAACACACGTGATGCTGCCAGTAGAAACACACACACATGTTGTAATATTTACTAAAGAAACGAGCTGGTCTGCTCACTCACACAGGAAAATGCAGTATCAGAAGAAGGCGTAGCAGCTCAAGGAAGAATCAAAACTTCAAGCATCCTGATTATTATTTTGCCTTTGTTCTGTTCAAGCCGCTCTGCGAGACTCGTCACAGAGCAAACCATGTTCTCTGGAGTGTGTGTGACACTATGTTGACCTAACAAGCAGACCTCGTGTCTCACATGGAAATAGGTGGATGGGTTTCCACACTGTTTAGTAAAATAATACAATAGATGATACATTGAAGTTTCAATTGAAGTTTTTTTTGTGTAGGGTTTTTTTTATTTTTTGGACTCAGACATTAAAGTGCTCTGAAGTGTATTGATTAAAATGGCTGATAGTGAATTGTGTTAAACACAGTCTGTTTCAAAGGTTTTGTTCAGTTTGATTTTTTCCCCTCGAAATATAATACTGACACATCTTCACAAAAATGTCAATGATGTATCTGCAGAACTGTTGATCATGTAGGCCTTTGATTTTATAAATATATATTTTTACTGAGGTATCCAACACAGCTCAGTACATTAACAGGAGACGTGCACGGAAGTGCAGCAATGGTAGTTGTGTCCGTACGGATCTCAAACGCTCCACTAAGGACTTCTAGCCTTAAACCAGTTTGAAGTTTTCTGTCTGGATTGGGGTTCTCTCATATGCTTGAACGTGCGCTCACATCTCACCAGCCTGTCAGTTTGTGCACAATGCCTTTTCACTCAATCCTTTTGGAGTAGTGTTCACATTTTTAAACTGTACCATCAAACTATTTCCGTCCAAAATCTCATCCATTTAGCTAAAAAGCTAATTGTGCTGCAAGGCTGCTGATGTCATGCTGGTTGTACTGGACCAGTGAAAAACAGATTGTATCAATTTTTTAAAATTTGGCAAGTATTTGGAATTTATATAATTTATTTTGAATAGCTGCTGGTTGAGAGTAAAAAGAGATAATTTCCTTCAAATTAAAGACATTCATCACCAACCCCCAAAATCTCTTCTCTTTTTACTTTTGACGTTTTTAATTAAGGCCCAAGCACTGAAGCAGCGGAAGGCTCTTACGATTTTAGGCCCATTTAATTTTTTCCATACGGGAGGCCATTTTCTCGATGTTCTGGTGGGCTGAGCATCACGAAACTAGGCACTTTTTTTTCCATTCAACCTTTATTTTTACAGGTTAGTCCCATTGAGCCTCAAGGACTCATTTACAAGAGAGACCTGATTTTTTTTGTTTTTTTACTTTATTGCCTCAAAATAGAAAAAACAACAGCAATTTACAGACATCGAAAAATAAATCAGAATAACAAAACAAAAACAAACAAAATACATTTTTTTTAAAAACAGAGAGAGGAAAAAAAAACCCTGCTGAGATTGGGTTCGGGAAACACCTATCAAAACAAACATGCAGAATCAAGCAACATACCGATTTTAGACAAATAAAATAGACAGTCGTGACCATCTTTGTAAAAAAAATATCCATTTTCATTTGTACTTGGGCAGTGAGACGCTCCATTGTATAGACATGTTTCAATTTTTGTATCCACTGAGCAACAGTTGGTGAGCAGGGCTTAATCCAGTTTAGGGTAATAGTCTTTCTTGCTACTAACAACAGAATGTGCAATATGTAACAATGATCTTTAGTGAGTAAATCCTTGGGATATATGTCCAACAGAAATAGGAGAGGGTCCATGGGAAGATCTGTTCTTAGAATGTCCTCAATCTTCTGTTTGATGTTCTCCCAGAAGGTCTTAAGTTTGGGGCAGTCCCAAAAGACGTGTGTGGTCACCGACCATATCACAGTGCCTCCAGCATTTATCTGTAATTGTATTCTTGGAAATGAACGTTTTTAAAGGAGTTTTTAAAAATCTAGTTTTCATTTTCCAGTCAAACTCTTTCCAGATCTGGTTCCCAATCCCATAATGGCATTGAGAACATACATTTTCCCAAGTTTCTTCTGTTAGTATTACATTCATTTCCAGTTCCCACTGTTGTTTAATATATAATGTATTATCTGACAAATTTGTCAACAATTTTCTATACATTACAGAGATTAATTTATTTGTTAGTGTTTGCTTTTCAAGTACATGTATAAAAAAATGCTTCAATATCAGTAGGTTCTTAATATTATCCCATTCCACATGTTTTGTTATATAATTTCTAATCTGCAGATATCTATATAGATCACCTGAAGGCAGAGAGAATTGATCTTGCAATTGAGAGAATGATTTTAGTGTCTGCCCATAAAACAAATGGTCCAGTACAATCAAACCGTTATTTGCCCACCTTTTAAAGACACTATCTGAAATAGATGGTATAAATTCAATGTTACCCACAATCGGCATGGCACGCGATAGTCCTGTAGTACCTTTTAAGTCATTTTTGAATTAAAGTCCATGTCTTCAGAGTTTGTAGAATCAAGGGGTTGTTAATTTAACTTTTTTAGATAGCTTTGGCTCATGAATGGTAGGATAATCAATGACAACCCAGGGAGTGAGTTCTGTTCAATTGAGACCCATTGTGTTTCTATTTTATTAGTGATCCAGGCCAAAATAACACACAAGTGTGTCGCCCAGTAATACAGTTTAAAATTAGGTAGTCCTAGACCTCGTTCCACTGGTCATTATTACTTTTAAGCGCACCCTTGGCCTTCGGTTTTGCCAAATAAACTTTGACACAAGCTTTTCTAAGGTTTTGAACGTAGATTGTGGCACTAATATTGGAAGGGATTGAAATAAGAATAATAATCTTGGCAGTATATTCATTCTTACAGTTTCTATTCTATCTAAAAGGGATAAAGGGAGTACATCCCATCTTTCCAAATCTTTTTTGATTTCCTTAAAGAGTTTTCCATAATTAGCGTCAAAAAGTTGTGCAGTTTTTGGGGTAATGTTAATCCCTAAATATTTAAATCCATGGGAGGATCTTTTGAAGGAGACTAAATGATCTATTCCGGAGGGCCAATTGCCAGCAATCATCATTGCTTCTGATTTACTGGTATTAACTTTATATCCAGAGACATAGCTATATTCATCAAGGCATCTTAGAAGAGCAGGTATGGAGGTGATCAGCTCTTCCAAAAAGACTAAAATATCATCAGCAAAAAGTGCAATTTTATGCTGTATATTTGCATCATCTGTTATGCCTCGTATGAGGTGATTTGCTCTCATTAGCTCTGCCAAAGGTTCGATACTAAGAGCAAATAAATGGTGAAAGAGCATCTCCCTGGCGTGTGCCACGTCCCAGAGGGAAGAAATCTGGAAGCTCTCCAGAGAGAACTGATTTTAACAAAGAATGATGACAACAATGGACAACTACGACAACAATAATAAGAGGCATAGATTTTTATCTTTTATTTATTTTTTACAAATTAAAATAAGATGGCAAAAAAAAGTAGTAACAACAGCTAGCTTATAAGTAGAATGTAGAAAATTAAAAACATGTCTGCATTGCTACTTGCAGACATGTTATATTTAGAGCCAGTGTAAATATTGGGTGGTGCAAATTCACTCTAGTGCCATCTTGAACATAATCCATGCAACTGTTTAAAGGTGCCTCTGTCCAGGACCTACACAGATGGGGCATGAATGACATACCTTATTCCAGTGGTGCCCAATACGTCGATTGCAATCTATTGCTCCATCTCTAAGGTATGTGTATCCACATTATATCCACAGGTATCCACAGTTTGTGAGGCTGAAGGGTTGTGTGTCTAACCAGGTGGTCAGTAGCTCAGGAGCACCACAGGGGACTGTACTCTCACCATTTCTTTTCACTCTACACCTCAGATTTCCAGTACAAAACGGACTCCTGTCATCTGCAGAAATATTCAGATGACTCTGCAGTGGTTGGGTGTATCAGAGATGGACAAGAAGCTGAGTACAGGGAACTGGTGGACCGCTTTGTGGCATGGTGTGGAAACAATCATCTCATCTTGAATGTGAA